AAATAAAAAAAAAGAAAGGAAAGGCTGTATAAAATAAGGTGTGTTTAGCTTAAAAGAAGAAAGGTATCCCGCTGAGGTCTAGGGTAAGCGGAAAGCTTCTTTAGAAGTTCCGTGGGATGAGTAAAGAAATTGCACCTTTGGTTTTAATCTCAGTATTGGCTTCTTTTCACAGTGCAGCCTTCATATTCACGCTTCTTACAGCATCTCCCAGAAGCTAAATGTCCCAATGGCCCCACTCTCAGAGCCTAACGCCGTAGGCATCGTCATTGCTCATGGTAAGAAGCCCTCCTCACCACCGTGGACACAGTAACTGAGCTTACGGACAATCAGCCACAGCCTTCGAACTCAGGAGAGAGCTACTACAGATAGCAGTAGTTTGTTTGTTTTTACATTTCTTTGGCACTTTAGATTATTCTTGGATTTCTATCAAAGAGAGTAGACTAGCATTTCCCCTTCACAAGTCTTAGTTGTTTGTGTTGTTACTGTTGAGTCAGCTTTGACTCGTGACAGCCCATGTACAGCAAAACAAAGCACTGACTTCCCCTCTCCATGGTTGCTGGTAGATTTAGATTCTCTGTGGCTATGTGTGTTTGGAATGTTAGCCTGGGAGGCTCAGCTTCCAGCCCTGTAGTGGACCATATTGTGTGCTGGTCCATAAGGTTTTCGTTGGCTAGTTTTCAGAGGTAGGTCACCATACTTTCTTATTCTTGAAGCTCCGCGGGAGCCCATCTGTTGTGGGTGCCCCTGCTGGTTTTTGAAAAACCAGTGACATGACTTCCAACATCAGAGCAGCACACAAGCCACCAGTGGGTGGCGGTCCAGATTGTGAGTGGCCACCTTTTTTTTACCATAAGTGGCCACATGTGAAATAATCAAAATGAATTCATTCAAAGTTATTCCCTTGACAGTAAAGCCTCTCTTTTTTGTTGTCAGTTTGTGCTGACGGGTTTGTGAATTGTGTTGCAGGTAGTGTGGGGGATGCCATCTCGGTTATGGTCCCAGACGTGTACATCTCAGATGATGGTGGCTACTCCTGGGCAAAGATGCTGGAAGGACCCCACTATTACACCATCCTGGATTCTGGAGGCATCATTGTGGCCATTGAGCACAGCAGCCGTCCTATCAATGTGATTAAGTATGCATGAGCTCATCTCCACCCCCACTCTGCATAAGGGCACCCGTGGGCAAGCTCCTTAGTGTACTGGGGGGATATTACAGATCCCAGTTCAGTGGTTGCACGCTGCAGAACTCTGCGGAAGGCTCTTGAAGGGATTGTGTTTAGAGCAGCTCACATTCAGTGATTTTTGCTTTTTTGCTTTTTTTTTTATCTGATTTCACTCTAGCTAATACATATGTCATGTTTTGAAAAATACTTTTTTCTAGAGGAGGAGAGAGGAAATTATGCAACAATGAATGGTTTGTTTTGTGGGGTTTTTTTTGAGTGAGCAATTAGGGAGGAAAATGTGCAGCAATGAATGAATGAAAATCCAACTTTTCCATAAACTTTTATTAAAATCACATTAAAAAGATATTTTTCCCTCACTATGAAAAATATTACAGATGTGATCAACCAGAACTTAATAATGACATCTGAAATAACAAGTTCTTATAATTTTTATTTGTCTATTTAGAAGTTCAATGATAGTGAAATCATTATCTGCTCTTTCCTTTAAAAGAGTTTTTTTAAAAGGCATGTTTATCCTGGGAGCTCTGATGGCCTAGTGGCAAGAAGCTGTGCAGCAGTCTCGAAGGCTCACGGTTCAAAGCCACCAGATTCTCCTCTGGAGAAGGAGGGACAATCTTCTCCTGTGCCAGTCAGATCCAATTTAACAGTACACAACAAGAAAAAATTAAAAAGAAAGATGTGTTTCTCTATATTATCTCTGAATTAATCCCCTTTTCTTTTCTCTTAACTATTGGTACTAGAGATTCATATAATTGTTAGACAGGAACAAATCATCTAAATACGAGGACTTTTTCACTTCTCCACTTGGGGTTTCAGGTTCTCCACAGATGAAGGTCAGTGCTGGCAAACCTACACCTTCACCAGGGAGCCCATTTACTTCACTGGCCTTGCTTCAGAGCCTGGGGCCAGGTCCATGAACATCAGCATCTGGGGCTTCACAGAATCTTTCCTCACCCGCCAGTGGGTCTCCTACACCATCGATTTTAAAGATATCCTTGAAAGGAACTGTGAGTGTCTCTTTTTCCCTTTCCTGCCAGAAACTTACACATCCACTTTTCTAAATAACCATATTGACTTAATTTATTTGAGCTACAATAAGCTAATGTGCATGAAAGGAACTAGTGCAGAGAAGGTTGTCCTCTTTGGACAAGCACTGTTCAGTAAAACTATAATGAAAACTACATGTATTATTTCAGATTGTCTCTTAGCTACATGAAGAAAGGGAAAGGAAAAATGAAATTAATTTTGATGGCATAATTTTTGCCGACATAGTAAAAATATTATTTCAACATTTAAACAATATTCTAAAATTACAAAGGAGCTTATTTTGAATTCTTTTTTCAAACTAAATCTTCAAAATTCAGTATATATTTTATATTTTCCTTTTACAGTAAATCACAATTTAGATCAACCACACATGACAAAAGCTACCATGTATAACCTTACAGATTTTTACTTTTAGTGTTGTCTGTATCTTTTATGTAACTTATTCCTTCCCCCAGTTATAAGACTAATGCATACATGTCTTTATCTAAAATAATTTCAAAACATTTCTGGGATTTTCAAAGCCTCTGATAGGGGAAATGCAGGAGCACTATAAAAAGGATGCTTCAAAGGGAATAAAGTGCAGAGCATCTAATGATTATATCCCTCGTTGAAATGTTGATGTGAGGGAGTTTCCATACCACTGAGCTTGAATGTCAGTCACAGATGAGGCTCTGGAACGGCCACGAGCATTGGCGTGAGCATATTCTGCCCAGGTCAGAACTCTGTGACTTCACCTTACAGGGTATCTTCAACACCCAGAAAGGGTCTTAGAAAGGGAGTTAGACACGTTGCCGTACACTTTTAAATTGACGACTGTGCTTAAAAACACATTTTTTTAGCCGTCATTTGTGGCAACGTCTTAATAGGGAGCTTTGGTGGCCTAGTGGCAAGAAGTAGCACTGCAATCCCAGAGGTAATACGATTTGAATCCACCAGATGCTCTGCTGGAGAAAGAGAGATAGTCACCTCCTGTACTAGTCAGATATGACTTCACAGTACACACACACATACAAAATAAAAAAAAAATTTTTTTTTAAAAAGGGGAGTTAAAATGATCGCTGAAAGGTGTTTCTAAAAGATCACATGCAAACTCAAACCAGAGATGCTCCCATTGTGCTGAAAAATAGTGTGGTTGAAAGGAAAACTAAAGAAACGGTGACCACTCTGTGACTTGCTGGCATAAGAGAGCTTTCAGTTTGAACCTCACCTTTTGTACATGTTTAAATAAGCTTTAATGTCTGAGTGTCATTCATTAAATAAAATGGTCTGTGAAGGAGCAGGATTATAAGTTGTCCACTGAGCCAGTAACTCTACAGTTCTCCCTAATGTTTGATTCACTTTCATGAAAAGGTATATTAATTACTTGCTCTCAGAGCAGCCTCTGTAAGCTGCTTACTGTGAAAGGTCAGTGGTCTCTACAGGAAAAAGATGTCCCAGTCTGCTTCTATAAACATTTACAGGCATGGAAAACACTAGAAGGAAGTCTTCCATTGCCCTGTGGGGTCACTATGAGTCAAAATCAACTCAGTGGCAGTGAGGTTTTTGGTAGGCTGGTCTTCATATCCCAGAAAATAAAACCTAATCTTCAGTTCATGGCCTTTGAGTCCTTTTTCCAGCATTGAATCATATATATATGTATGATATGATTCATGTTATGATATGATATGATATGATATGATATGATATGATATACTAAGCTAGAAACTATTGTTGTCAACAGTCTACATTGGGGGAGCTCTGGTGGCCTAGTGGCAAGGAGCTGCAACTACAATCCCAGAGGCTCACGGTTCGAATCAACCAGATGCTCTGCCGGGAAAGGAGGGACAGTCTCCTCCTGTGCCAGTTAGATCTGATTTGACGGTACACTCACAAAAAAATTATATTTAAAAAAAAAAACAGTCTACATTGGAGAGCCAGTAAAATAGAGTTTCTAAGTCTTATCAGGAGTACCCTTCCTTTTGTTTGAAGCAAACTAACCTATAGTGAAATTGAACCCTTGTCCTTGGCTAATTGGTATCCTGTCCTGAACAAAGAGCTTCCCGACCCTGAGTGGAATGCTCTCTGGTTGCTCACCTCTGATGGCTCCTGCTGGTGGGGGCAGGAGACACACAGACAGTTTAGAAGGAACTCAGCAGTTGTGTGCCCAGCTTTCCACTCTGAAACAAATAAAGCTTTTCCTAATTTTTAAATGGAGTTGAGATGGAAAGACTACTCCTTTGGCATGAAGAAATGCCAGTTGCTAGTAGACTCCAGACTAATGTAACTTTTTGTTTGCAATTCCAAAAGGAAGTAATAGGCTGAATCAGGCCCTCCCACTTTCCCTCCTTGTGCTGCCTATAGCCTGGCAGCTGCCTCGTGTGGGTGGGTTCTGTGCCATGCAGTTTCCTGAACAGCCTGTCTGTCCTTTAGGTGAAGAGAAGGACTATACCATATGGCTGGCTCACTCCACAGACCCCGGAGATTATGAAGATGGCTGCATTTTAGGCTATAAAGAACAGTATCTACGGCTACGCAAGTCGTCCGTCTGTCAGAATGGTCGAGACTATGTTGTGACCAAGCAGCCATCCATCTGTGTCTGTACCCTGGAGGACTTCCTCTGGTATCAGCATTCCTCAGATCACCTGTCATCCTTTCCCCATGTTGGAGGAGGGGAAAAACAACTGTCTTATAGCGCTGAAAAAATAATTTTATCCTTTTCTTCCTTTTCTTCCCCGATAATGGAGAACTGCTGCTTCTTAACCTTTTTATAAGAAAGGAGATTGAGATACAACAAAAGGAAACCGGGACATATTGGACAGTTAGCTGTTGAGTTGAATCAGCCAGAAATCCTAGCCTTCCTGACTTAGCAAAAGTGAAAAGGAAAGCGTTTGCAAGGAGGGAGAGAACAAAGCGGAAATGTATAGAAAATGACCATATAGAAGCACCAAGGAAAGAGAGCTCAGGAGCAAATGGGAAATTGAACTAAGGACAGCCTGGCAGCTTGAGATCAGCAGTCTTGGGGCCTCCACAGGTGCAGCAGCAGAGAGAGAGTGGTTGTGGCCAAAGACAAACCTGATATCAGGACATATGTGACCCATGGGCTGGGCCATAGTAGGGATTAGAGCCCTCAGGATAAACTCCCTGGAGTTCAAGGTTATCTATGCTTGAGAAGAAGTTACTTGGCTGGTGTGGGTTTAACTGATTATATGAGAACATGGGAGTCCATAGGGAGTGTATTGTAAGCGAGATCATTTTAGGGGAACGACCTCTCATCACAGATTTTCATCACATCTTAAGGAACTGGTTACCTGCAAAAAATACTGTCAGAAAGTAAAAGTGGATCCCTGAGGATATGAACAAGGAAGGCAGGTAGATAACAGTCAAGTCTTCCCACATCACATTCCTTCACACTGTGAGTGACAGCAGATTACTGGTCCGAGCAAACATGCCGTGTTTGTTCAGGGCTCTATGCTGTTGCCTGAAAAATCTTCCATATTCCCTGCTTGACTTCCAAGCTTCATGAATTCCTACTTGTCCTTTAATGGTTGGTTCAGGTATCATCGCTTTAAAACCTTTCTCAGACTTCCTCTCATTTTGGCTCCTACCAGCATACTTACTGTGTTTTAATTATTGTTTATAGATTTGATTCCACCATTAAATTTTAAACTCCTTGAAGCAGTTTCTGATAATGTTATTGTGGGATGCTGCCAAGTTGGCTACGACTCATAGCAACCCTATAAACAAAGAGATCTGAAGCTTGTTCTGTCCTCCCGTGCTCGAGCCATTATTGCAGTCATTCCGTTACACTGTCTCACTGAGGGTCTTCCTATCATTCTCTGACCCTCCACCCTTCCCAGCATGATGTCTTTTCCCAAGCACTGGCTCCTTCTGACAACATGCCCAAAGTGTCATTTCCATTTTACAAAGAAAAAAATCAGACGTAGAGAAGTTAGTTGGCTTGCTGCCTATAGTCACCTGACCAAGAAGTGGCAGAGCTAGGATATGAGCTTGGCAGGTAGGTCCCCAGTCCACCCAGTGCACCACACAGACTTGATAATGTAAATGAAAGGGTACTTTCTCTGAAATTTTGGGTTGAAGATAAAAGTTTTTATCCGTAATTTCTCCTCACTGTCTTCTGCATCTTTTATGCTCCTCCTTCTCTCCTAAATATCTGTCAAAATCTTGAGGTATAAGCAGCATTAATTTATTCACCATATTTTCTTTGAATATGTGCTTATGATAATGAAAAGTTTGTTACAGACTTTGTGCTTTTATGCTTATAATTATGATGCAAAAGAGAAAAGTGCCATGGAGATTTTGAGAAAGGAGGGAATATATTCCAGGTAGAGCTAGATGAGAGTGGGTCAAAGAAGACTTCTTTCAGGAAATGGCACAAAGAGAAGTATGTGAGGCCTGGACCACAGACTGTCAGGTACACCAGAACAGGTGGCCAAGGTGAATGAGTCCAGGGAGGCTCCCCTGGGTGTGAATCCGTGGGTCCTCAGTGATGTGGATCAGTGGTGATAGCGGCTATGACATAGTGTTCACAGTTGGCAATGAAGAAAGGAAGTCAAAAGGTACAAGATAAAAAGAAAATGAGAAGTGAGTAAAGTAGGACAAGAAAAATATTTTTATGCATGTGTCTATTAAAGGAGAGAATTGAGAAGTAGGATTAAAGAAATCATTTCTAAGGTCGAGAACATAGATAGACTAAGGAGAAACCGCCTGTGTAATGACAGAGATTTGTGAAGTGTCCCTTCACACTCAGTGAAATGAGGTCGCAGGGCAGGTAGACACAAAAGGTGCTCATGAAAGGGTCATTAGAGATGCAGTAGGCCATTTCTTTGAGGAAAATGGGAAAAGCCGGGTAATGAATGACATCATAGAGATCATGAAATGGAATGACGGGCGATGAAGTACACAGGTTAGAGTAAGAAAGAGGCAAAGACCATCTGAGTAGCTAAGAGAGAAACCGGTGAGGAAGACAGAAGGTGGACATAGATCTCAAGGACAGCATTGTAAGAGGTCCTTGGAGGTAAATCAGTGAATTTCAATCTGCTGCCAGTGGCTACAGTTTCTCTGTAGCCTGTCTCTTAGATGCATGGGTCCCACCCCCTGCAGGCTGCATTCTGCCCCCTCCCTGGACCTGATCAGCTTAACAGGGATTCTAGCCATGGAGCTTCTCATCAGTGAATCCCAGACCCACCAGGCCCTTCCTTCTACCCCAGACTGTCATTGTTAGCCACTAACTGTCTTTCAGCAACTTTGAAAGATTATTTGCTGTCTCTTGCAGTGATTTTGGCTACTTCAGACCAGAAAATGATTCAAAGTGTATGGAACAGCCTGAACTGAAGGGCCACGACCTGGAGTTTTGTCTGAACGGCAGAGAAGAGCACCTGACAACAAGCGGGTAGGAGAACTCGGTCTCCCTCTCTCATCCTGGCAGATGTGTCATCCTTCCACAGAAGCTACTGCCATCCAGAAATCTGAGAAAATATTTACAGCAGAACTTTCTGTGCTGGTTGAAATGCCTTGTAACCTGCTGAGTGCTGTGGTGGCCACATGTCATCCTCAACTCTTAAAATGTGATGGTGCACCTAAGGAACTCCTTTTTAAATTTTACTTTGAATGTGAATAGCCACCATATGAGACAGTGCCACTCTAGAGGAGTCTCTTGACCACACTTTCCATCGCTCCTGTGTTTGTTCCCCTTCTTGCCCATGTTCCCGGGCCATGGGTCTTTAGCATCTCTCAAGACAAAAGGATAAGCTTGCCCTGATGGCAAAGTCAGACCCGGCTGGTTGGCTTAGCTTAAAACTTCGTAGCCTATCCCCAGCTTACCTCCCTGAGATAGCCCCCAGGCCTGAAAGGAGGTGCAAAGATGAAGAGCTTCTCTGCAGCGTTTCAAATCCTATTTTCAGGAAATAGAGAAGAGCCCAGGAATGCACTCTTACTTGTATGCTGTTAACTGTTCTTCATTGCCTTTCAGATACCGGAAAATTCCAGGAGACAAATGCCAAGGGGGGGTGAATCCAGTTCGAGAATTAAAAGACTTGAAAAAGAAATGCACGAGCAACTTTTTAAGTCCAGAAAAGCAGGTATGTTAAAGTAGATCTGGTTTAGGGACAAGTGGAATTTTGTGTTTTGCAGGAAAAAATCAAGAATTTCATTAATAAATACCAAGAGAGCAAACTACTCTGGCAAGCCCCGCTTTGGACAGGAAGTTATTAGGATGAAGTATGAGTCGTATAACCCAGTGAGAAATTCATCCTACTAAAAAACTCCCTTTCTGGTTGGAAAGAAGTGATAGCCTATAAAGTCCATCAAGTTGGGTGTCACGGACTGAGCAGAGAACTGAGAATGATTATAAGGCTTTTAGATACTTAGTAAAACAAAGGCTACAGCTGTAAAGGCCATAAGATAGAGTTTTGTATGTAAGAATAGCCCTGGGTGATGACTGAGGTGAGTCTTCCTATTGAGCCATGTAAAGTGTACATCTAGAATGAAAAATTGAACTATGATAACAGTGACCTGGTTTTTATTTAGCAGCAAGTTGTGGGACTGATGACCAGTCTGCAGTTCTGACCTCTCGGGCTTGGGTTTGGGGATGTGATAAAGAGGCTACCTCTAGATAAAGGAACCCTGGACTGGCACTATGACATGATTGTTGAGAATAAACTTTGGGCCTAGTTTTCTAATCTGTCACATGAAACTTTGAGCTGGACAGTCTCTAGTCCCCTCTTCTCATATTCTAAGGGGTATGTGACTGGCAAGGGGTGGGACTGGGAAGGCAGTGGGAGAAGGAGCAGCTTGTGTGTGTGATTACACAAGACTCCCGCCCACAGCATCACAGCTTATCCCAGAATCCAGCTCTGCCTCCCTTGGATACATTGAAAAAACACACACCCTATCTCCCACCCAGAAGCAGGTAGGTCATGTGAATCAACCCTGTGAAAAGATTTCTTTGTAAAACTATACCAGAACCTGAACAGACCCATTACAAAAGAAGAAATTGAAAAGGTAATAAAACAACTTCCAGCCAAAAAAAGTCCTGGACCAGACG